TGTGGAGGTTTTGTTCAGATTCTGTTTGTTTAGAGCTTTAAATTTGCCTTGTATGTCGATGCTGCAGATTAAGGGCCTGAACGGCATTAAGTGTTTTTAATAATGTGTCTCGGCCAAATAAATCTTTACGTTTTTACTAAAAAAAAATGTCTGTTTGTTATCTTTAAGGCGGCCTATGTGGGAACATATGATCTAATTCAAGGGTTTCTTTGCTTAAAGAATAAAGACAAAATGACCATGGAAAAAGAGGATTGATTTTATCGTTGATAGATTTATAGTGAAACTGGAGCAAAGACCTGCAACAGCCATGAATATGATTTAACGGTGAATAATTTACTGTTGGAATTAAAATCAAACTTATTTAAGTTGAACTCTGCCAATTTAGCCTTTAAATCAACATATTTCGTTTTCTATTCTCAATTTTATGACTTTAAACAAAAAAAAACTACGGTTCAATTTTTTCTGTTTACTTTACTATTCTAACTATAGTCTTTAATGAATCCAAATATTCCTCTATTTGACATTGGATAGTAATTTATGTTGGCCACTAGAGGGCAGCAGAATGATCTCTGAAGAGAAAAATTCAGCTGTGATCCATTGATGTAGAATAATTCAGTTAAATTCAGTTTATTTCTATAGCACCAATTAACAACACGTCATCTCAAGGCAATCCCTCACACTAAGCATGCTTGTAGTGACAGTGGAGAGGAAAAACTCCCTTTTAACAGGAAGAAACCTCAAGCAGAACCAGGCTCAGTGTGAACAGCCATCTGCCAAGGTCGACTGGGGTTCAAGGAGACAGAAACAGACATGCATAAAGAATCACAGATACTGAAAGGCATCTGTCAGCTCTTAACTAAAGCTGATTATAGCTGAGTATCATCAGCATGACAGTGGAAATGAATCCCATGCTGTCTAATAATTCTGCCAATTGAGGGCATTTATATAGTTAAGAGAATTGGTCCCAGCACGGACCCCTGTGGCAATCCACTGGTAACCCTGGTAACCTTGCTAGGAAACTGGAGAGAAAATATCGCTCCACAGGCCTACGGGAATCCTACCTTTTCTGGAAAAATGTTTACTGCTGTATAAGAGGACCCTTTGTAAAGCAAGAGCAACATATTTCTCCTCATTAATAGAGGAGAATAAGAATAATCCTAGATTTCTTTTTAATACAGTTGCCAAACTCACCCAGAGCCATAGCTTAGTTGAACCGTCAATTCCACCTGCTCTTAGAAGTAATGATTTTATGGGACTTTGTATAAATAAGATTGATCTTATTAAAATAAGATCATTAGCACTCCGAGTGGTTTGTCTCTGGAGGGTGGGGCAGCATCTGAGGTAGTCATGGAATCCGAACCGGGTTTAGACTGCTTTGATCCAGTTGAACTTTCTGAGCTAGCTAAATTATTGTCTTCATCTAATCCTTCAACTTGTATGTTAGATCCAGTTCCAACCAGGTTATTTAAGGAGGTATTCCCTTTGATCTCCTCCATTTTAGATGTGATTAATCTATCTCTGTTACAGGGATATGTACCTAAGGCTTTTAAGGTTGCTGTTATTAAACATCTGCTTAAGAAACCGTCTCTTGACCAAGATGACTTGGTCAATTATAGACCTATATCCAATCTTCCTTTCTTATCCAAAATTCTTGAGAAAGTAGTTGCCAAACAAGTTTGCGATCACTTACACCATAATGAACTTTTTGAAGAGTTTCAGTCTGGCTTTAGAGCTCATCATAGCACTGAAACAGCTCTGGTGAAAGTCACTAATGATATTCTCATGGGCAATTCTAGGACCAATTCTGTTTACTTTATACATGCTACCAATCGGTAGAGTTATTAGACAGCATGGGATTAATTTCCACTGTTATGCTGATGATACCCAGCTATATCTGCTATAAATCCAGATGAAGCTAACCCATTACATAGATTACAGGCATGTCTGAAGACATAAAAACCTGGATGACTCTTAACTTTCTCCTTCTGAATGCAGACAAAACAGAAGTTATAGTCTTTGGACCAGAGTCTTTGAAAAAGAAGCTGATTAGTCAGTCACTTCAGCAGTGATGGGATGGGCATTACTAATGCCGTTACTTGTTTTTTTAGTAATGACTAATCTAATTATTAAATTATTTTGACTGTAACTATAACCCAGTTACCATTGCCGACACTCCGTTACTGCACGTTACTCAGGTCGCACAATTAACCTTTTTTTCATTCGTGCGCGCCTTCTGATGAGAGAGGGGAGGATGAGATTGATTGATGTATAGTGAGATTCCGTCTGTCAGTTGGGTAGGTGGGTGTTTCTTCTGGCGGGTGTTAACGTACAGCACACACAGAGAGATGGAGAGTGAGGAGGACTCCAGCAGCAAAACAGCGTTTTCCAGATGGAAATACCGGTGTTACGTCGAGCTGCGTTTGCCCATCAGATACGGTTTCCCCTGCATCTCCGCACAGCGCAGGCGGTACGATTCACTGCACAAGCGCTAGGAAACCGCATGCTCGCTAAAGGAGTGTAACAGCCACCCTGGGCTCGCGCCACAGGGGAAATATGGAGAGCGAGAAGGATCAAATGATAGCCTATATGGAGAAAGGGAGAAATCTCGATGGATGGATGGATGTTGCAGTATCTATAACAACCCAAACACACAGGATTTCAGAATTAGACATCCACAGACATCCACAGTTATTAATTTCATACACTCACCAGATCTGAACGCCCTGTTAAAAAACTTCACACCCATGAGTAGCCTGATGATATTGACACCGCATCAGATAGCGTTCCTACATGTTAAGCAGGGGGAACGCTATCTGATGGGCCTATGCAAAACTCTCTGCAGGTTCTTGTCTTTGTCGTCCGCTCTATTCAGCTGGCTTTGGAAACACACGGCGAGAAGGTGGGGGCCGGGTGGTGAGGGCTATGGGGGCGAGAAACACAAAAGTAACGCAATAGTTACTTTTACTAGTTACTTTTATTGTGGAGTAACTCAGTTACTTTTTGGGAGAATTAACTAGTAACTATAACTAATTATTTTTTCAAAATAACGTGCCCAACACTGCACTTCATTTGGATGGGATTAAACTGATTTCAGATAATAAAGTAAAACATCTTGGTGTTGTTTTTGATCAGGACCTGTCATTTAAATCCCAGATCAAAGAGGTTTCTAGAATTTCCTTCTTTCATCTGAGGAATATTGCAAAAATTAGAAATCTCCTGTCCAGGGGTGATGCTGAGAAACTAGTCCATGCATTTGTTATTTCAAGGCTGGACTATTGTAATTCTTTACTATCAGGAAGTCCACAAACTGTAGTTAAAAGCCTCCAGCTGATCCAAAATGCTGCAGACAGAGTTCTGATGAAAATTAAAAAGAGAGATCATATCTCTCCTATCCTGGCTTCTCTTCATTGGCTTCCTGTTAAATCCAGAATAGAATTTAAAATCCTCCTTCTCACATATAAAGCCTTAAATGGCCAAGCTCCATCTGATATCAGACTTAGACTTAATTCAACTTTATATATTTACTAATTCAGGAAAATGCTTGTTCTAGTAGCTTCTATAGAGTAAAAAGGGCAAAGTTAAAGCAAGTTTTCTCCAGGCGGGGCTATAAATCAAATTAGACGTATACCACAACACCAATCAAAAGTATACTCCTCTCCTGTGGAACCAACTATCAGTTTTAGTCTCTGAGGCAGACACTCTGTCTACTTTTAGAGGTAGGCTGAAAACATTCCTTTTTGATAAAGCTGAAAGTTAGAGTGGGCCACCTGTGGAGATGGTTGACAGTTGCCTCTTGTATCTCTGCTTCTGTCTCCTTGAACCCCAGTCGGCCTCAGCAGATGGCCGCTCACACTGAGCCTGGTTCTGCTGGAGGTTTCTTCCTGTTCAAAGGGAGTTTTTCCTCTCCACTGTCGCTACAAGCATGCTTAGTGTGAGGGATTGCTGAAGAGTCAATGAGTCGATGCATTCAACTGGTTTTTCTTAGATAGAAAAATGAATCAAACTGACTGGATGATCTGACGAACTGTAAAGTGCCTTGAGATTACATGTGTTGTGATTTGGCGTGATAGAAATAAACTGAATTGAATTGAATAGATAGATTGTTTTTGTTCCTTATCATGTTACATTTTTGTCTCTTAAGGAGGAAAGTTCTTCTGATGTCAACCTTCTGAAGGTTTCACGAAGATGAAGGAGCTTTTTATTCTCTTGGAAATATTTTAAAGCTCACGTCAAAGTCAACTTTATTCATATACAACCTTTAAAAGATATAAACACATTAAAGAAAATATCTGCAAATGTGTAATGTGATACAGCACCAACTACGGTAGTTAAATGCCAGTCTGAATAGATGAGTCCTCAGCTCTTTCCTAAAACAATCTAACAAAGATGGAGGCAATACTTTGTTCACTTAGTTTGGCTCCATCTTGAAAGGATGTATCCCCTCTGATTTTGAAATAAGTTATGGGGCCGTTAACAGGATTTGACTGGCAGACGTCTGACTTTGAAAAGATTGGACCTCTGAAAGGTCGGGGATATAGTCTGGAGCTCGATCACACAGTTATGTTAATGTAAGGACTAAATATTTATTTATACTTGTAGCTGATGGAAAGGAAAAACTGAAATAATGGTCTGTCTGTCTATCTATCTATCTATCTATCTATCTATCTATCTATCTATCTATCTATCTATCTATCTATCTATCTATCTATCTATCTATCTATCTATCTATCTATCTATCTATCTATCTATCTATCTATCTATCTATCTATCTATCTATCTATCTATCTATCTATCTCAAGTCAAGTCAAGTCAAATTTGCTTGAGGCCCCTAAATTCCTTAAAACAGCCCTGGTTACGTTAATCAGGACAAAAATAAAATAACAGCATAAATGTTTATAGAGTTTTAAACTTAGGAATCTGCTGTCCCTGCATCCAAACTAGTAAAAAGGTGTCAGCATGAAGGATCAGCTGAAAATCTCAATATACAAAAAAATAAAATAAATACTAATAATAATCTTTGTGATTCTACTCTGAGGATTAATAATTTGGGTTTCTGTCTAGAAAGAGTTTGTCAGCACACAGTTGTCATACAGTCACGGTTTGATAACAAAGCAACTCTGGCTTAAAGGAAGAATAGACTGAATATCATCTGCATAGAATGAGAACAATATGAATCGTATTAGCAAAGTTATTAAACATTCAGAGTCCCACCAGGAACTTACATAAAAAAAAAACACGAAAAACAAAATTACATCAGGTCAACATAATAAACCAGACAAAAATAATCATAATGATTAAATTATAGAAACATGTCACTGTTCAGATGTTGTTTTTTTTACAATTAAACACAATGCTTGAAAAACAATGAGTTTTCTAAAAACAAACACCTACAGCAGAATTATTAGTTGCTTCTTTCAACATCCTGTTTGAAATTCAATAGAGGAAAAAGTCTTAGTCCCATCGTAAAAGCTTTGGTGAGTTATCAGTCCTGCAACCTCCTACCTCAGTCCGTCAGAAAAAAACTGAAACATATAGTAAAATAGTTTTGTCTCAGGCTCTTAATATAAAAACATTTAAACATTTAAATGACTGTGTTTTCTGGCATTATTTCCTATTGTAAATAAAAGGCAGTGAAGTTAAGAACGAGTGGAGCGAAGATGCGTCAAAGGTCATTGTGCCAGGACTTGGCTGATTATGGGTCATGTGCTTTTATCTCACTAACCTCAAAAAGAGGCATATTTACTAATGAACAATGATAAATGAAGGAAGCTAACATAATAGAGCCTTTCAGATTGAACCAAGCTGTGAAAAATCCGTCTGTAAAAAAAAACGTTATTACCTTTTTGATATTTTCCCCGTTTAATGTTTTGAATTCTTTAAGGGTTTTAAACCCAGTTTTTATAAGCTTCTCTGATATGTTTTAGTTTTTTTTTTGTTTTGTTTCCAGAGCGTCGGCTAACCTGAGTATTTTCTTGATAGTTTCTGGCTTTATTATTTTTTTCACTTTCAAATCAGGTGATCTGTGGCTAACTCCTGCTGAGGGTCTTGCTGAGGTCAAAGGTCAACAGCTGATGGCGTTTTTTCTGTTTGCAGGTTTTTGAGTCTCCTCAGCGATGGCCATGGGCATAGGGTAGCATAGGGAACATAGGGACATGTCCCTACATTTTGGACTGACTTACTTGTCCCTACCAATAATTAGATATGAATAACATGTTTAGAACTTACAATACAGCGTTGTTGCAGCCGTCGCTTCTTTTCCTGTTGCAGCTTAGCTACTTGGTAGCTGCTGGTGCCGCTCCGTCTGAGTCCCTGCCCGCTCTTTCCTGTCCCTTAAACTTAGCAGCGAATGTAACTGTGTTGTGGTGTTAAACTCCACTTCATTGGTTGTTCTGTCTTAAGTTCCGCCTTCTCTCTTCCTGATTGGCTGTTTTTTTTTTTTTTTGTCTGTGCGTCTGAATTTCACATTTTGTTCACCCTAGAATCCCGCGGTTACTCCAACTGTTGCTAGGCTACCAAACTAATCCAGTGAAAAAACTAAATATGCTGCAACATTTGAAAGCTGCTGATTGCAGTTCTGTAAAGCAGCAGGAGGTTTGGATTTGTGGAACTTGAGAAATGTAAGTAATCAACGTTAACATGTGAAAATAATATTTAATTCTACAGTATGATACATTTTATTCAGATTCTTAGCCACAGCAGACTGAAAAAGAAAATGTGATGGTGTCTCTTTGAGCAATATTTCTTTGCTATTACTGTTTTCATTTTATGACGAGCCTTTGAGGCAGCGCAGGTATAAATAGCAGGTGTTATTTCTTTTATAGAATATAACATGTAATGATTTGATGAAGTAGAATACACTGAATACAGCGTCTACAGACCAGCTTCAATGTGTGTAAATCAAGTTAGGTTCAAGTTCATTTTTTTTTTTTTTTTTGATATCTACACTTCAGATGTATTATGAAAAAATAGTGTTTGGAACGTTCCCATAAAATACATGAAATGATCGACACAGAGTAACTACAGCCCAGATGCGCAACTTTTATATTGAAGTTTACACTCACCGGCCACTTTATTAGGTACCCCATGCTAGTAACGGGTTGGACCCCCTTTTGCCTTCAGAACTGCCTCAATTCTTCGTGGCATAGATTCAACAAGGTGCTGGAAGCATTCCTCAGGGAGTTTGGTCCATATTGACATGATGGCATCACACAGTTGCCGCAGATTTGTCGGCTGCACATCCATGATGCGAATCTCCCGTTCCACCACATCCCAAAGATGCTCTATTGGATTGAGATCTGGTGACTGTGGAGGCCATTTGAATACAGTGAACTCATTGTCATGTTCAAGAAACCAGTCTGAGATGATTCCAGCTTTATGAAATGGCGCATTATCCTGCTGAAAGTAGCCATCAGAAGTTGGGTACATTGTGGTCATAAAGGGATGGACATGGTCAGCAACAATACTCAGGTAGGCTGTGGCGTTGCAACGATGCTCAATTGGTACCAAGGGGCCCAAAGAGTGCCAAGAAAATATTGCCCACACCATGACACCACCACCACCAGCCTGAACCGTTGATACAAGGCAGGATGGATCCATGCTTTCATGTTGTAGACGCCAAATTCTGACCCTACCATCCGAATGTCGCAGCAGAAATCAAGACTCATCAGACCAGGCAACGTTTTTCCAATCTTCTATTGTCCAATTTCGATGAGCTTGTGCAAATTGTAGCCTCAGTTTCCTGTTCTTAGCTGAAAGGAGTGGCACCCGGTGTGGTCTTCTGCTGCTGTAGCCCATCTGCCTCAAAGTTCGACGTACTGTGCGTTCAGAGATGCTCTTCTGCCCACCTTGGTTGTAACGGGTGGTTATTTGAGTCACTGTTGCCCTTCTATCAGCTCGAACCAGTCTGGCCATTCTCCTCTGACCTCTGGCATCAACAAGGCATTTCCGCCCACAGAACTGCCGCTCACTGGATGTTTTTTCTTTTTCGGACCATTCTCTGTAAACCCTAGAGATGGTTGTGCGTGAAAATCCCAGTAGATCAGCAGTTTCTGAAATACTCAGACCAGCCTTTCTGGCACCAACAATCATGCCACGTTCAAAGTCACTCAAATCACCTTTCTTCCCCACACTGATGCTCGGTTTGAACTGCAGGAGATTGTCTTGACCATGTCTACATGCCTAAATGCACTGAGTTGCCGCCATGTGATTGGCTGCTTAGAAATTAAGTGTTAACGAGCAGTTGGACAGGTGTACCTAATAAAGTGGCCGGTGAGTGTATATTTTAAATGCTTAGCGTCAGTTCCTCTTCTAGTTCCCCCCCGCACATGTTAATACAATACATTTATTTACAGACACTTGAATATGTTATTTTTATGATACAGAGAAAATCAGCATATCGGCTAAAAAAAACAAAAAAACGACAACCCTCTATTTCCATCTGCACAATTTCACATATTCAAAAGAAAAACAGGATAACTCTACATACAGCAGACATACTTAGACTATATTTGGTTTAACAGGCAGGTATTTACCTTCTGTCTTAGTCGCTGCTAAGTTCTAATGCAAACCTTTTCAAAATGGAAAAAAGTCCCAATTCCACATTCATCAGAGCTGGTGATGCTTCAAACATTGATAAGCAGCATCTAGTGAGTGTAGCGCTTTTCTTTTTTTTTTTTTATAATTAGTTTTTTTATTATATTATAAAAAAAAGAGTGTAGCGCTCATAAAATTTACATAAACGTAACAAAAAAATGCAGATTTTTCTCTTTAAACAAAATGCACCCTGATGTTCACATCAAGCATAACAAAAAGCAGCATTACACATTGTGTCGGACCAATGACATCAGACCAATGACATCAGACCAATGACATCAGACCAATGACATCAGACCAATGACATCAGACCAATTAAACTTTAGACCAACAGTGTCCCTACCAAAGCTGAAATCAAACATACGCCCTTGGCGACAGCAAAGGCCCTGATCCTGTAAACGTGGAGTGACCAGAGAGAACTGAAACTTACCAAAGCTGTTGGTCTGAGACTATAGGGCCTGCTCAAACTGATGATCATAAATTAATTCCTGACTTAAAAATAATCAGTTTTGTTAAATGGAAACACCATGTTGCAAATTTGTTTGCCTGATGGGTATATTTTCATCTTTCAGGTAGTATCAATAAAACATACATTTATTCTCAGGTTTAGGAAATTATCACATTAACTGGAAAGTAAATTATTATATTGGATCAGGTCAGTAAAAAAACAAAGATCTATTAGTAATCACACCCTAATTCTTGTTTAAAAAAGTATAAGAAAAGATGTGAAAGTTAACTATATTAAGGAAAGAATTTTGTTAATTGAAAGCAAAATTCAGATTATTTCAAGCCAGTTAATCTTAAAGTTAATTTCCTATTCCTTGTCTGAACTTTGAAGAACATCTTGAAAGTAACTAGGAATTCTTTAGCAGGTCCTGATGTCAGAAATCAGACAAATATAAAACATAATATTTAAACCTAATATATTATATATCTGTTCTGATCTGGGCAGGGTTCGTCCCCCCCTACTTACAACAATGAAAAGCCGTCAGAGTCATAACAAATTACACACACTTTGGTTAACGGTAACATGTTATGGATAAACCTTGAGTTTATTTATAACATGTTACTCCCTGTTCATCTGACAGTATCTGGGACGTTTCAGTATGTTAATGATACTTCTAATCAGAAGGTAATTGTTGGTTAAGAAGTATGAATAATTTTGGATTGGACCTTTAAAATGTTTCCAGTTCTAATATTCAGAGAGAATCATTGAGCCGAGATCACATGAAGCTAAGAACTTTTATCAAGCTTGTGGCTTTTCATGTGGATGTTCAAATGCGATGAACCTTTAAATGTCCTCCCACATATGCTGCAGGAGTACGGTTCCTCTCCTGTGTGAATTCTCATGTGGACAGTCAAGTTGCTGTTGTGTCTGAACCAAAGGCCACATGTCTCACAGGAATAGGGCCTCTCTCCCGTGTGGATCCTCATGTGGCTCCTCAGACTGCTGTTGGCCGTGAAACGTTTCCCACACGTGTCACACCTGTATGGCTTCTCTCCTGTGTGGGTCCTCCGATGCCGTTTTAACTTTGATGACTCCTTGAATCTTTTGTCACAGATGTCACACGGGTATGGCTCCTCTCCGGTGTGGGTCCTCGTATGTATCAATAACTTATCGCTGCTTCTGAAGCTATTTCCACAGGTTTCACAGCGGTACGGTTTCTGTCAGAGTGGATTTTCATGTGGAATTTGAAAGGAGTACGATAACTGAAGCTCTTTCCACATATTTTGCAGAAATACAGCTTCTCCCCTGTGTGGCTTCTTTCATGATGTTTCAGATTACACATCTGATAAAACCTTTTATCACAACGAGTGCACGCAAACGGCCTCTCACCCGTGTGTCTTCTCAAGTGAACCTTCAAGTAGGACTTGGAGTTTAGGAATTTGCTACAAATGCCACACTGGACTGATTGTTTGGATTTACTGGATGGATTCTTTGACAGTTGTTTCTTTTTACTTCCTTTTTGAGGATTTCTCTTCTTTGGTTTCAGCTCTGCAGTTTTCTCGGATCCTGGATCTCGGTTCTCACTTGCAGCTGGATCTCTGGCCTCAGGATCAGGAGGGCAGTGGAGGATGGCTTCATTATCATGGGGTTCATCAGCTTCACACTGGTTTGTTTCCTTAGAACCAGGAGTCACACATTCAGTGTCCTGCTGCAGGTCTTCCTCTTGTTCCACTTTGATCAGAGGAGAGTTTGGTTCCTCTTGTTCTTTAATCAGCGGCAGTCCTGATTCCTCTTGTTCTTTAATCAGTGGCAGTCCTGATTCCTCTTGTTCTTTAATCAGCGGCAGTCCTGATTCCTCTTGTTCTTTAATCAGCGGCAGTCCTGATTCCTCTTGTTCTTTAATCAGCGGCAGTCCTGATTCCTCTTGTTCTTTAATCAGCGGCAGTCCTGATTCCTCTTGTTCTTTAATCAGCGGCGGTCCTGATTCCTCTTGTTCTTTAATCAGCGGCGGTCCTGATTCCTCTAGCTCCACTTTAATTAGATGAGATTCTGATTCCTCTTGTTTCTCTTTAGTCACTGGAGGTTCTGGTTCCAGATGGTCCAGGCTGCATTTATTCTCTTGTTCATGGAGATGCTGGTCCATAGGAACCTTCTCCTCCTTGTAGACATGCTGCTTTTCAAGTTCTGCAGGAAGAAACAGTAAAATCGAGAACGATATGAGAACAGAAGCATGAATCCAAAACGCTTTGTGATGATCTGGATAAATGTGAGAAAAACATGATCTGATTAAATATCCTTCATCTTTGTACGTTTAAAAAGTTTCGTCAGATAGTTTTCTGGTAACGTTTGAACTAAGGTCAGAAGATGGCAGCAGTGGCTCATAAAGGAGAGACTGACCTCCTAAGCTTTGGCAGTGCAGTTTAGTCAGCACAGTGAAGCCATTCCTCAGGAATCAGAATCTAATTTCATTGGTTGGTTAAGAGCAGAAGGGTTATATAGGACTTGTTGCCCCAACCTTCTTGTTTTTAATTGATCTTAATCCTGTCATGGACACCCATCCATCATTAACAGCTGACACTTCTCCAGTGTTTCAAGTAACATCCACCATCCAAAAAAAATCTTTTCTTTTTATTTCATTGCAAAAATTACCACAACCTAAGAAAAGGCAGAAACAACAGCAGGACTGGGTTTACTTAAAAAGAGTAAAGCCTGTATTAGTAATGGTGACACATCATACTCAGTTATTTAAACTATTTAACATGTTTGACCTTAGATATCATGTGTTAGTAATCTCTAATCAGGGCAATGATGGTACATTAGCAATGAGGCAAGTGAAGCTGTAATAGCTGGAGTGAGGTGTATAATATTCCATAATGGACATCAGGGGTTTGAGAAAGGAAGTCAAATTAAGGGGAGACAGAAACTAATAAACATGTTAGACAGAGGAAAACAGACCAACAAGTTCAACAGCATACTGAGCCGAGCTGTCAGTTAGGCACTAAGCATGTCGGTTAGATGCTGTAGGGAAAACTGTTGCAACAATGATCATTTGTTGAAAAGAAGATCTATTACCGTTCAAACCATGCTGCGTTGCAAGCTTTAGGTTCCCATAGGAAGCTTCATTAAATCATTGTGCAATATTCATTTTTTTTTTATGTCAGAAAGCTACTATTTAAAGAACGCATTCAACTTCCACTCTCAGGGTTCTGTCCGCTGTTTTGTTTTTCTGTTTCTTTGTTATATAGTTGTTTTCTGTCAGTTTTGTATTTCTTGGGTTACTCTCTGTTGCCCCGTTGCACCTTTTTCTTGCCCCTTGGTTCTCTTCTAGTTATTTCTATTCACACCAGCTCCAAATCAACTCATTAGGCATACTTTGTTCTGTTCCCACTATATACTCACATCTACAGTCACTCAGTGCTGGTTTCTTGTTGTAGTTGGGGTGGTGTGCTGCTGACCTTGTCTAGTTTTAACCTAGTTTTAATATTTTCCTTATACGCACAAAGAACCTCATTCTCTCAGAGTTCCTGTGTAAACTGAAAATTCTGTTTTAACCTCAAAGGGCCATGGAGATGATTGTTGATCCCTTTGCTGGGTGTGTCTTTAAAAGCTGTTATTGGTTGATACAGGAAACAAAAACACACAAATGGACCTCTATATTAATTGGAGGGAATTTTACAGAAGCGTTTCAGACTTGATTAAGAAACGTTCCTCCTAATGAAGAAAGTCTTCTAAAATAAATAATTGCCCCACAACATCAAAATGTTTGAACCTTATTTAAATCCCCAGTATTATTTGAATCTATTTATTTCTCTGTTTCCTCTCCATGCTTGTCATTTTATCACTTTATCTATCCGATTTTAAGGTGGGCTCACCTTTCAACATTTTTTTGTGATTGGCTGCTTTTAGAAAGTGGATTATGGAACCAAAACCCAGCCTTGATCAAGCCAAAACTATGAATTATAGGCCAATATCTAAACTTCCTTTTTTGGCCAAAATCAAAAGGTGATGTAGAGAACAGGTCATATATTTCCTAGAGGCAAATAAGATACACAATGCTTTTTTAAACTAGTTTCCAGAGACACAACTCCACTGAAACGGCCTGCTTAAAGTTTCAAGTGACATCCTGATGTCTGCCGACTCAGGTAAATGTACTGCCCTGGTTCTGTTAGACCTATCCTCATCCTTTGATACAGTTGACCGCCTCATCCTTTGATAAACAGGCGGAGTGATGTGGTTTGGATCACTGGACCAGTGTTAGAGTGGTTCTCATAATATATGGCTGGAAAGAGATTTTACGTTAGAGTTCTGCCCTAAGACATATTTTGTTAATGGTTTATGCACTCCCATTAGGTAGGGTTATTCAGCACTTTGAGAATGTCTCATTTCACATGTTTCCAGACAACATTCAGCTCTGCTGCTCCATTAATACATATGAGTTTCACAAATTAAACTCTCTGATCAAATGTTTTTCCCAAATAAAAAAGTGGTTTAGTGACAATAACCTAAAACTGAACTCAGAAAAAAACTCAGACTCATGATTGCCCCAGGCAAAGTCATTCCAGGCATTAAACAGCACTTATACGATTTCAACCAGGTGACAAAACACACTTTGAGAAACATTGGAGTTTTATTTGATGAGGCAATGTCTCTGGAGCAGTACACAAAACAATTGATAAAAACCTCTTTCTCTTTGCTGCCTTACATTGCAGAAGTAAGGAATTTTTTTTATGAAAATGACCTTTAGATGCTGTTTCATGCATGTGTCATCACGTTTGGACTACTGCAATAGCTTGTTCGCTTGTCTGAATAAAAAAGGCTTAGCTCAACTGCAGCTAGTCCAAAATTACGTCCAACCAGAAGAGCTCGCATTCCTCCTGTTTTCAAAGCTCTACACCGGCTTCCCATTGAATACCTCTTAAACTTTAAAATTCTGGTCCTGACCTTTCCCTGCATGGACAGGCCCCCGCTTATATCTGTGACCTGATTCAGCCTCACTCTTCTACTCGCAGTCTGAGATCTGCTGAAAAAACCTTGTTAACGGCCCTCAAACCCTGTTTAGGATGAGAGATGATTGGTCCCTCCAAGCTGTCACAGCCAGACTGTGGAATGCCTGCTCTTGGCGAATTCCAGCATATTAGACTCATTTTATCAATGGCTGCTATGACTGTATGCATTTGTCTATATGAATTTTATATGGTGCTGTTTTGTATTTTCTTTTTCTGATATTGTTCAGCGCTTTGTGATGCTCGTCTGAGAAAGGTGTTATATAAATAAACCTTACTTATTTAATTAGATCATTTTTCTGCTTTGTTTGGAGGATTTCTGAGGTGCATAACATCACCTGAACCAATCAGATTAAGGAGAGTCCATAATAGCAGAGCTAAATGTGCAGAGAGGAGCAGTTGATTGTAACGACCCATCAGATTTTATGAAGAAAAAACTAGATCCAACAGAAACATTCAATGTGATGAAATTAATTTTGTGTACAGTATGTTTCTGAAGTAGAGATACATAGAGTTGGACTTTTGAAAGTTGAGGAAGATCAAAGCAGCCAAAATTTTGAGGATTAAACGGCATGAAAAAAAACTATAGAAAGACTGAAGCATTAATGATAAGAAGAAAAAACAGGTTTAAATAGTGAAATCATTCAGCGAAGTCTGGATCAATAAGGAAGAAGGGAGGGAAAAGGAGACGGGTCGGAATTGCAACTTTTAACAAAACATAGAAATATAAACTTTTTACTAATTTCAGACTGAAAACATGCCAATATTGTTTCAATAAGGATATTTATTACTTGAGATGTAAAGGATTGTAGCCAAATCAAATCTGTTTTAACAGAAATAACTCAAAGATGATAGACTGGCTGTGCTGTAAACTGCAGGATGAGTCAAACAAATATAAACTACTCTCTAGCTCTGCATGTTTTCATCCTGCAGAGATATTTAGGCTCAGAAATCTTAGAAATCAGGACAAGATTTGGAGAACCCTCCACTTATACCTACCGATTCTTTGGAGTTTTATCTGCGGGTTCCAGCAGGTTTCCATCAGTCTGATGTCTTCCTCATAGCGGACGATGGTTTTTTCAACCTCTGTGAAGATTTCTTCAGCAGCAGCAGTTAGTCGCTCTCTGATAAACTCCCTCAGACGCTGAACTGAAGACATTGTTGCTGAAACTACCGAAATATTCAGCTGAAAAAAAACAAACAACGTGTTTAAAATTGGCTGTTGAACTGAATGAAAAGAAGGGCTTAAAGCTGCAGTCTGTAATATTGAGGAGAGAGCAGACTTCAACTGAAAATTTGAAGAAAAACAGGTTTCACTCCACTCCCCCAACCTCTCTGCTTCACTCATGCCCCACCTCCAAGCTCCACCCTCTCACAGCATCTGCGCGGCTACCGCATGCCACCAGAAGGGGGGGGGCGGGATTCAGCGTGTGTGAGCTGTGATTGACACTCCATCAGACGCTCCTCTGGCTGTGATTGGTTGTTTTGACTCGTCCGAAATTATTCTTTCCAGATTGAAATACAGGCAGTAGGCGGGACCAATTGAAGCAGTTTTTTTCACAGGTTACATATCACATGTACGGAGCCCCTCTGATGACATGGTCAAAAAAAATTTTTAATTGTGGCCACGAAGTAGTATTTCCTGTGCACGAAGTAGTATTTCGTGGCCACGCAATAAGTTTATCGTGCGCACGAAATACTATTTCGTGGCCACGCAATAAGTTTAACGTGCGCACGAAATACTTATTAATAATATTAATATCATTCCTGGACAACTGGGTAAGCAAATCGAGCGTGCCTTCTCTAAGGTCTAAGGCGCGCTTGATTTGCTTACCCAGTCGGTCTCCGCCAGTCACGTGACATTTGTTGCTAAGACGCTATTTTAGGTGGAAAAGGCGTAGTGTAAACAACCGCAGCATAGCTAAACGAAGGACTAAAGGCCCGTTTACATAGCAGCCTGTCCAAGACAAGTCATTACAGTTAACATAAGCCTGAAAACAGGGGCGGATTTATTGATATTATTAATAAGTATTTCGTGCGCACGTTAAACTTATTGCGTGGCCACGAAATACTACTTCGTGCGCACGAAATACTACTTCGTGGCCACAATTAAACATTTTTTTTGACCATGTCATCAGAGGGGCTCCGTACACATGTACTGCTGTCTGGGCATAGGGACAGTTTTAGCCAATATGACAAAAAAGTGATTTTTAAAAACTTACAGACTTCAGCTTTAAAAACAAACAAATGACCAAAGCAGATCCAGTCAGAGCAAAGGTATTTCCAGAGCGTAAACCAATCAGCCTTTGCAGCCATTGTTCTGTTAGTATTGTGCTATCATGTTTGAATCATGAACTTCCTTTACATTACTAATGTTACCACTAAGCCTATACTGTGGTAATTGATGGTGAAGCAACATCTTTATGCTTTTGATTTAGATTCATTTGATTTACGTTGCAAATAGAGCTTTACATTTAGCCTTCAGAATGTAGCAGTTCATAATTGTAATTGCTCTGGAATTTTTAAAATACAATTATGATGATAATAAACTTTATTTAACTAACTCTAACAAATCTCTTCAGCCAAGAGTGGTAGGATAGTCAGAAAAACACATAATCACATCAAACATGGACAAAGGATGGAATATTTCTTTTTACATAAAGCATTCTGCTTATGTTACTTGGATATGATGGGTTCCCTCATGTTCTGAAATAACTCATAGAGGTTGGAAACTCTGAAAACAAAGTTTAGTTGGAACAAGAAGGCTGAATGAGATTAGTTTGTTTAGCAGAATGACATTAGTTTATTTAAAACATTCCTGCCACTTAGAGCCTGTGGGTCTAAATAAAACTGGTTCTGTCGTTGACAGAACTGTGGCTTATCACTGAGTTTATCAGATTTCACGGCTTTTACTCGGCTTCTGTGAATCCTCTCCTACCTGTGAGCTTTTTACTCCCTGTTGATCCAGTTACACTGCAACGGTTTTTAATCTGTTTTCGGGTCTTTTCTTTAAAAAACCGTAACAGATTAGCCTTCATATCGATCAATGCATAAATCAACCAGACACAAGAGAACAAGATCTGCTTCCTTTTTCTTTTGAGCGGTGGCTGGTTTTGATTGTAACATTAAAACAATGTAGATATATGATTTAATTATTGCTTAAATCATTTAAAGGAAAAGTCCGGTCAGAAAGGAATAATCAATGGATCATTATTTATACCTAAAACTAATACGTTGCCATTGATTTAATGAATTAGCGTTAATCAGTAAAACAATAAAAATAATAATTTTCATCACGATTACTGAGTCTGGGAGCGGCCATTTTTGCCCAAATATAGTAACCCCTCCCTCCTACCATCTTCCGGCAGTGACGTCACGGTGCGGTAAGCCTAGCGCCATTCTCCCCGCTTTCCAAGCTAAATCAATGGGAACTACTAGACACATCTGCAATCAACAACAATTATTGAAGATTTCCAGAGGACTTCACCATTGAAATTCACCAGAGCTATAGTGAAACTGACAATGCCCACGTGCATGGCAGCTGGATGCTGGAATACATCGGTTAAAAGGGAAAAATAAAACAGTTATTCCACCTTTCTAATTCCTGATCCTCCACGGACGGGTTGGTCGTTGGATCGCCAACTTGAAGAGGGAGGATTTGCCATCGAACTTCTGGCCAGAGAAAAAACCCGTAATATGTAGCCAACATTTGGAAGAAGAATGTTTTCAAGATGACTTGGATAATAGCGCGTTGTGACAAACACCAGACACAGCACTGGGACTTGATCAACAGCCGATATCGCACCGTGACGTCACTAACCAGTAGGTGGCAGTAGTGTTCTTTGATAAACATGGATGCCTCCAGTAAAGCACATTCACATGAAAATTACTCTTAATTAAAAACACTGATAATTTATTGAACGTGATGTAATATTTTCATATTTAAAGTTTGAATTCTGAATATGAGCGGACTTCCCCTTTAATTCTAATAAATTTTATTAATATAATATATTTAGTCGTTATTTCTTATCTGCTGGCTTTAGACTGAAGTTATAAATGATGTTTTAAGGCCTGAAGTTTTGATTTGAACAGTTCGGAGGTGAGATGCTGTAAAGTAAACCATCTGCTGGACTGACAGACAGATTGGTTCCAGATGACAGAACGTCAGCTAAAATGATCTAATGTTCTAACCCAGGTTCTGTCACTTTAAGGTTTGGTTCATACTAAATCAAAAAATACGTCTTTTTAATTAGGGTTCAGAGAAAGATGCACGTCCACATGGCCCCGCAGCACGCTGCAGTACCTATGAATGAACTGGTGGCGCTGTGACTCGCCCACTCTTAGTTCTAACAGCTTCTTCCATAAACCTTCTCAAAGTGGGTTCTTGAACAATCAATGGTGACCTGGATGGATTCTGACTGTGCCAATGAACTGATAGTGCGGATCGAGTAGTGGCAGTCGATGTTACAGCAAAGGATTGTGGGTGTTTAACTAAAGCGAGAGATGATGTTAGCGGAGAGGTGGTTTTCCTCACCTTATATCTGCATAAAAGATGGTTTGAGGAAACATTTCATCTATGCTGGGGTATCAGTGTTTGGCCCATATGTTTATATCACTTGCAAAATAAGGACTGGTCTATAGAAACCTGAATATATTCTCACAGTATCCTAGTGGTTCTGAATGCTGGGTGTTTCAGACCTGACCCAATTGAAGGAATCAGATTCCTCTCATTCCTCTGACTGTAAAATGTTCTAAATTTTTTTTGGAGTTTCCACTCTGTTCTTTTTTCCTGGAAGTAATTTGAAAACAGCTGGATGGAAAGTTGCCCACAGGGTTTCTGACCCAAAGAAGTGTACGGTGTGTGAAGAAGCCAGAAACATCCCTTTACATCCGGCTTCTGATGTCACCTGTGAGGAACATCTCCAATTGGTCAGGCTCGGTTTTCATCCTGAGGTTCGTTTCACAAAGCAGGTTTACTGAAAACTTGTTTTCTAAACCTGAAATCAGGGAAACTCTGACTTTTCCATTTCACAAAGAGAGACTATGTTCTGGTCACCATAGCAACATTCTCCTCAGAGCTTACCTGGTCAGCAGCAGGCTTTCTTCAGTAAACTCAGAGTATATTCTGTCTCCGCTCTCCTTACAGCCAATCAGATTGTTTAATTTCCTGATTGAGTCAGGAGATTTTTGGTGTCGGTTTGTGCATAGAAAAAAACATTTACTAGACTCATTAGGTGGGATAACCATTTGATGAGCATCTTATTAAAGAACATTCAGCCTTTTTTCATAGATAATTAAATATTTATAGGGAGAGGATTCAGTTGACAAGTTTTTAATATGAACAACATGTGGATCATTTTATTTTTATTTATTTTTGCAGTGGCTACAAGAAGAGCTACTGAGATTATTTTCAGATTAAACATAAATAGATTCATTAATTCTGCGGGAAAAAAGAAATTACTTTAGGGTTAGGATTAGGATTCACTCGATGATAACAATCTAATGAGCCTAAAATCTGAAGCCATTCTATGGGACTGTTAACTGTTTTAATAACAACCATATATTAGGATGATCTGAAGTGGCTGCAGACAACCACTTATTTACTGTGTGAAGAAAGAATCAACATTAGAGGAACCCCGCGATGAAGAACAGGTTCCATATTTTAGAACAACTTTTTTATTAGGTTTATTCAGTGATGATTATAAAATGAATGTGTGCTTATAAAACATTTGTGCGAGGGGATGCTCCACTCCTGTCTCATGACTCAGTCAGGAGACCATCCTGCCTTGTCATTCTGATGTAGCATTCTGTCTTCATGAACTGATCAATTGTTGTGAAGTCAAATGAGAAAAGAGGAAAAAAAAAAAAAAGTGCACTGTTTCACACGGACCTATAAGAGGGACGGACAATGGAGGAAGGAGCAGAGGAGCAAGCCAGACAAAGAGGACAAAAGTTTGGGACTCTTATGATTAGAGATCCTGTTGGACTTGTGCAGATCTGGATGAACTTGTAGGCGGGTGGAGAGGCAGCCGGTAAGAAAAGCTGTAATTTATGAGATTGGACTGCAAAGTTACCTATGTTCCTCCAGCCTGGCCTTCAGTTTGCCATTAACACCAATTAACAACTACACCTGAACTGAAGAGGTGGATTGTGGTGCTAAAGTTGTTTGATTTTATGCTTGAACTTATTGTAATTTTGTTAAATAGTAAATTTTGGTGT